TCCCCACAGGGTTTTGCAGCATTCTGTCGATGTGACCGAGGAGGACCGGGGCCCGAGCCGCAGCAACCGCATGGAGATGTCCATCTTTTATGTGGTCTACTTTGTGGTCTTCCCCTTCTTCTTCGTTAACATCTTTGTGGCCCTCATCATCATCACCTTCCAGGAGCAAGGGGACAAGATGATGGAGGAGTGCAGCCTGGAGAAGAACGAGGTGACTGCTGGGTCTGGGGGGTGGGCGTATGCACCCAGGCCGCACAGTGGATGCGTGGGCCACAGCCTTAGGAAGAACAGTGGAGTCTTCTTGGCCTTTTAGAGCTGCGGTTCTCAACCTGTGGGTCGTGACTCCTTCGGGGATCGAACAACCCTTTCACAGCAGTCGTCCGATTCATAACAGTAGCCAAATTACAGTTATGAAGTAGCAACTAAAATAATTTTGAGGTTGGGGAGGTCACCATACATGAGGAGCTGGGTTAAAGAGTCGTGTCATTAGGAAGGTTGACAACCATTGTTCTAGAGAATCAGTGTCCTAAGACAGAAAGAGAAAAAATAAAAAAAATGTGTGTGTGTATATATATTTATATATTCAGTCATTAAATGAGCGTTTTGGAGCACTTGCGCTGTGTCTGTCCCAGGCGTGAGGTGGGTGAGGCGCAGAAAGCAGGAAGACACTGAGACACTGAAGGGGGTGAAAGCGCAGCCCCTGCTTTTGATGCAGCATAGAGTGTAGAAATTGGGCCAAGCTCATCGCATGAAGACATCTGCTTACCTGACTGTCCTTTGCTAACCTGTACCTGCCTTAGGGGCAGAGGACATGTCTCATCACTGCATTTCTAGCGCAGCTGAGTGCTGGCTCTCTGTGGGGTGTTAGTTGGTGTTCCTTTAGGCCATTGGGCAGGGTTTTTGAGAACTGAACTGAATGGACGTGACTGATGCTTAGTGTTCTCAAATCGACCCTAACTCATCGCTCCACGTGTGACAGCGGAGAACTCTCCCAGAGGGCCGCCTAGGCTGTCATCTTTGCAGAGCAGACTGCCTGGTCTTGTCTCCTGCAGAGCCACTGGTGGGTTTGAACCACCAGACTTTCTGTTAGCATCCAAGTGCTTGACCATTCTGGGAACAGGGTTCCTTTAGAATAAAATAAATCCAAATGATTCCACAAAGGAATTTTCCTTCCGACTGGAGACATCCGGGAAGATTGCTTGCCTCGGCATCTCAGCCACACGTAGTGTTAAAGGAAACTGTGACGAACCACGGAGCTCTCCTGCAGTGTGACAATTCCCTCCTCCCTAGTCTTACTCCTTTAAGGGATCATCTCTCCAGGAGCTCCAGGCCCTCTCTGTGGCTGGGTTAACTTACCTTTGCCCAAGCCCCTTCCCTCCTGGTAACCATCCGCGAGCCCCCCACTGTGCCTGTTTCCAGAGCAGGAGCTGGGACTAACAACCGCGTCTTTCCTGCAGAGGGCGTGCATTGACTTCGCCATCAGTGCCAAGCCTCTCACCCGCTACATGCCGCAGAACCGGCACACCTTCCAGTACCGCGTCTGGCACTTTGTGGTGTCGCCATCCTTCGAGTACACCATCATGGCCATGATCGCTCTGAACACGGTCGTGCTCATGATGAAGGTGAGCAGGTGGTGACTGGGGGTGGGGGCAGGCTTGCCCCTCTGTGACTGTCCTGCACCGTGCAGTCGGGGGATGCCTTGGGCGCCCTGCGCAAGCACTCTACCGTACTGTCCCCCCATGGAATCTCACTTAGACCTGACCTTGTTCAGGAGCCCAGCCTCTGGGCCCCTGGGCTAGAACACAGTGACACGGTTAGTAGATCCTGCAGCTTTCAAGACAACTGGGAGGGATGGCGTTGGCTTCACACACAGGCAGTGTATAGCAAGACACCCGGATAATGCTGTGACCCAAAGGAATGTCAGACCAGTAAGGAAGGCTTGAGCCCGCTTACTGCCATTTCAGAAAACATTGTCACAGGAGTGCCACGGAGTGGGTTCTGACCTGGGCAGCCCACATGTGTCAGAGCAAACTGATTTGGGGGGAGTCTTTTTGGAAGTAGATCGTCAAGCCTGACTTTGTAGGTTCCCTTCAGACAAGTTTGACTCACCAACCTTCCAGTTAATAATTGGACACTTACCCAACTGTGCCACCCAGGGGTTGCCATGCACTGCAGACTCGCTGCCTTCGAGTTGACTCCAACTGGCAGACACCTGATAAGACAGGGAGAGCCGCCCCACAGGGTTTCCAGGATTGCAGATCTTGGTGGAAGCCAGATGCCATGCCGCATCAGTTCTCCCGGAGAGCAGCGGCAGGAGGGTGCGAACTGCTGACCACCAGGATGTCTCAACTCATGGTCATTGAGTTGATTCGAACTCATAGCAACCCTACTTAGAGTTTCTCAGACTTTAAATCGTACCTTTCTGCAAAGAGCCTCATCTTTCTCCCGAAGAATCACCAACCTTGCAGTTTGTAGGCCCACACCTAACCTAACATGCCACCAGGCCTCCCAGGGTCTTAACCGAATGCTAAAACTCTAGAAAAAGTCTCTACTCTGCCCACCTCCATTTCTCTAATACGTAGTCTAGGTGAGACATGGGATGCTGTTTCCCTTTGTTTGCTCTGCCTGGTTCCCTACACAGGGAAGGTCCTTCCTTCCAGCTCCATGCCATCCCCCCTCCAGCCCCAGCCACAGGCCAGCGACCAGGGATGGCGGCCCAGTGACCTGCATTACCATGCTCACCATAGGCGTTGATCATCTTTCTCTCCCCCTTTCTCTTCTTGGCAGTACTATTCTGCTCCCTGTACCTATGAACTGGCTCTCAAGTACCTGAACATCGCCTTCACCATGGTCTTTTCCCTGGAATGTGTCCTGAAGATCATTGCCTTTGGCTTCCTGGTATGTCCCAGCCTCAGTGTCAGCATCGATCCTGTGGTCCCTGCATGCTGGCGCATCCCCAGGCCTTTGTGGCAGGAGGGGTAGTTCCTGATGTTTCTGAAAGGGTTCACACAGCTGCCCAGCAAATGGAGGGCTTGTTTTGATGGCTCGGTAAGCCGTGGTAGAGACAACATGATATGTGAGCGTGTTGGGAGAGAGGACAGAGGAATCTGCACCCCCCGCTCCGCATAGGTCTCGCCATCAGCCCTGCTCCTCTCAAATTCTCTGAGGCTCAGGGAGTGACGGTCTGGGTTTTCCCCAAACTGCCACTGAGGTGTAGAGAGAAAGTAAGGATCATACTAGGTAAGGAGAAATATCTGTCCCTCTTAGTCACATACCTATGGTGTCAATGGGTGCCCCCAAGTTGATTTTTCACCCACAGTGACCGCATGCGATAGGCACACTGCCCCACAGGGGTTTCTGAGGGGCTTCTGAAGTGCATGCAAATGACTGCCCCTTCTGTTAACTGGTGCACCACCAGGATGCCGCAAACCTGCCAGATAATCAGCTTTGTCTGCCACCCCCATTGGTTACAGGAAGAGTAATTTCTGTCACCCAAAATAGATGCCTGTTATTGAAGCTTACAAAGGTTAATGACCATTAATGTAGGGGTGCGTGTGCGTGCTGGTTCTGCTTCTGAGAGGGTTGCAGATGAATTTTCCTGGCCTGGGCCTCCTTTTGCTTCTCTTCAGCTACTAACTATAATTGTTTGGCACATTCTTGCACCTGCTCTCCGGGGTGTTAAGAAAACCTAACCCTCTGCATCAGCATCCTATAAACAAAATCATCCCCCCCAGTAGCCCCCACTCGCTTCATCATGCACAGGGCAATCAGTGGGCTGCTGATAAGCCCACTTGACAACTGTTTCACACTTACTTAGAGTGTAAGCTACACTTTCAAATTATATGTGTGTGTGTGGCGTTCCCTGCAAGAACAACATTTGCTTATTCTCGAAATCCGTGTTTTGTCTGGTAGCCGCTTGAGCAGGGGCTTTGGGCTGGGCTTGATTACCGTGAGTGCTGATTATGGGGGTTACTTCTAGTCTCCTTATGGGCCTTTTCTATATTATTCCTATGATTTGGGGGTGTGTGGAGACTTTCAGGGAACCCATTGCAGGTAACTGCATTGTTACTTGTTTAACCCCCTTTTGAGTGCTTCGAGTCTTGAGGAAATACAAAAACAACATGCACTGCCACCAACAAAGACGGCTTTATGATGTAGTCCGGCCCTTAGCAGGGGGCCTGAAGGGGAGGGCAAGTGCTTCCGTGCATCTTGATTACTCTACTCGCATGTGGTATTGACATCCTCAGTAACTCGAGTCCCCAATTATGCGTCTAATTATGGTGAAGGCTGAATACATACTTATTGGCTTAACAAGATGATTCGGCCCTGAAGCCTGCCTGCTTCTAATCTTCCCTCCCATAGTTTCATTCAAGGTCTGGGGGCATTCTCACACTGTACGAGGCCCTCGGAGTCACTGCCACAGCACCTGGTGTGCAGAATGCCCCGTGCTCACGGTTTTCTCGGGTCTTCTCAAGGACGCAGTGAAGTCGGCATGGCAGAAAGCCTCCTTAGCACCACTGTTGTTAGGATTTGGATTTCCCGGGGGCTCTGGTGGTGCGGTGGTTAAAGTGCTCGGCTGCTGACTGAAAGACAGTGGGAGGGAGACCCGGCAGGGCACTTCTGTGAAGACGTACAGCCTTGGAAACTGCGTGGGGCAGTTCTGCTCCATCCTCCCGGGTCACTGTGGGCTGTACTCAACTCACGGTCAGAATTGCACAATAAAAACAGAATTGAGAAATCGAGTGGCATTAAAAAGGGTAGGGATAAGGAGGAAATTAGCTTAGATTGGTTGCCTATTAAGTAGCAAGTTTCTTCTGCATATCTTCCCTTTCATCTCCATGACAACTCTATTAGATAGGCATTATTATTTTACGTTGTGGACTAACGGGAGATCAGGAAACTGCCCAGGGTTAATAAAGGCAGAGGCACGATTCAGCCCCAGCTGTATTGGACTATAAAGCCCATGCTTTTGCCACTGTAATATACTGTCCGGTGCCAGACTGAGCTGTCCTGTCCACATCGTGCTGGGCAGCAGCCCCAGCTGAATTGCAGGGCCCACGGTCCTCTATGAACCAGACTTATGTTGTCTCTGTTACATTTAGGAAGCCCAAACTCAGTTAGGCAATACGAGAGGGGATTCTGAGAACTGAGGAACAGAGACTCAACTTGGCTCCACCAATGATGGACTAGGTATTCTGATGGAAAGTGCGTGCATGTGGCTTTGCAATCAGACAGACCTCAGCGCTCTCCTCGTGCATTAACTGAGGTTGATAACAGCCTGGCTGTGTGTATCCCATTAGGTCTAACACACAGAAGGAGCTCAGACCTGAGTGGGTGCTGGCCTGTTAGGTGAGGTCTCTGTCCCTCTGCTTCACTGATCTCCCTGTCACACCTCTCTCCCCACTCTTCTCAGCAATTTTCCCACCTAAGACTTTATGGGTGGAGTGTATTTATTCATCAGCACCCACTGATGTGATCTGTGGACGGATTGAATCTGGAGGAAGCATACCAAGGGCCTGACCCTCATTGAGCATATATCGTAGGGATCCGGCCATGCTGGATTCCTTCCTGTAAAGTCAGGGTGAGGCTTGGACCCCAAGCAGGGCTTTATGAGTCTCTTATGAGAGGTGCCCCCCATGCACAAACAGGTGATGTTTTATAGCTCTCAGGGCCCTCTTTGTTTCCAGGAATACAGTCCAAGGTGTGTGTTCATCAGCGCCTGAGAGGTGGGAGGCCATCCATTCTCTCCTCTTAAGAGACTGTAGTCTGGCTGGTGGGTGTTTCCGGTTCTTTATCTCTCCTCCGTTTCTTCAGCCCTTTCATCTTATCACTGATTCCTTATGTTGTACTGCACTACGTCTCTCGAGGTACAACAGAACACAGAGAGAAGGGAAAGACAATATCGATTCACCTTATTGCCAATCAGTTCGTGTTAAAAACCTCAATGTGGGGCACGTTTGTCGCCTTTGCTCATAATGAGCTCTGTGGTGTTTGGTGGTGGTGGTGAGTCATTTCCATAGGGTCCCGTGATGCAATAGAGAGCAATACTGTGAATAAATGTCTTATAAGTGACAGTGGTGGCCTCTCCCTTGTAGACTTCATCGATATTCTTGGCCAAAACGCTTTCTCACTTGTGAATTTTGTAATGACATTTAAAAACAAGGTCTTCAATGGTAATTTGATAATGAGAAATTATCAAATTGGTGAGGGGTGGGCGGGGCAGACATGCCTGTTGAAAACAGGAACCTGAAGCCAAAGCGAGAGCCAACTGGCAAGTTCCCGTACCACGTGGCGTTATGTAATGGTGAGGTCTATGCGCCTTCTGTTTATTCTTCCATGTCCCCCCACCCCCACCCCTTCTTGGTGTTTCCGTGGCCGGATTCACTTGCAGAACTATTTCCGAGATACCTGGAATATATTTGACTTCATCACCGTGATTGGCAGTATCACAGAAATTATCCTGACAGACAGCAAGGTGAGTAGCTGATGGGACCTTTCTCTATAAACTGGGCCCCAAAGTAGCATTTTAAGAGCCCTCTGCATATGTGCGTTTCTAACCCCCGATCAAACCAATGTGTACCCCGCTGAGGGCTGAGTTCTCCTCCACCGCCCTACCATCAGCCAGAGAATGCAAACCCGGACTGGCGCAGAATTCTACAGAAGGCTAGGATGAGCTTGCATGCCTCATAAAGCAGCCTGTGATGGGGCGAGTGGCAGTGGAGGATGCCAGGGAAGCTTAGTGTGCACAGGGTTCTGATAGGTATGAGGGCACTTGGTGGCAAATGAAATGAAAAGATAAAGGAATATTTCCATGAGCCTTTTGAAGCCCTCTCGTACTTTGAGATACAACAGAAGGTACCGGCTCTCTGCTAAGTTCTCAGAGCTGAAATGTTTCCCTAGGTTTGTTCATCCTTAAAAGAATATGGAGAACTCATCATAATTCCTTTTGCTTATTAGAAAGCTGACATATGCCGGGAGGACAACTGTTTTGCCCTCGGTGGCTTCTGCGTGCACGCGGGGTGGGGACCACTGGACAGCAGAACAGGAAGGCTGGGTTGGCAGGATGTGTGCAGGGTGGTTGCTCTTGGTCCCTCTCTGTGGGAATAGAGGGTAGACTAGGAGGCCTTTGAGAGATGGGCTTAACTGACCTGTCAGCTGGAGTTGGCATTGCAAAAGACAGACAGGGTGTCCAATGTTAGGATCTTAAAAAGGGGTATGTATGCAAATTCTGGTGCTTCGATTGATTGTTCTGTCACGAGTGAACTGTCGTCAACTCTGTTTGCTTTTGGTCCACCAGCTGGTGAACACCAGTGGCTTCAATATGAGCTTCCTGAAGCTCTTCCGAGCTGCCCGCCTCATAAAGCTTCTGCGACAGGGCTACACCATCCGCATTTTACTGTGGACCTTTGTGCAGTCTTTCAAGGTAAGAGCTCCGCTCCAAGGGCTGGGCAGCCGTGTTATCACAGACAGAACAGCCAGGACACATGCCATCGGGCACCGTTGTTCCAGTCCCCTTTTCCTCTGGGAGTTTGGGAGCCAGTACTGTGGGTGTGTGTCCAAGCATTAGAGAAATACAGAAAGGCCTGGGGATCTACTTCCCCCAAACCAGTAGTTGAAAACCCAATGGAGCACAGTTCACTCACATACCTGGGGTCGCCATGACTTGGAATCAACCCATGGGTGACTGTTGGGCGGGTTGGTGACAGCAGTCGGAAGAGACTTAGTAGCGACTGACAACGACAGCATAGCACAGCTTTCCCAGATGATGGTCAGCTTATGCCCATGGGATTTAATCTTATCCTAAAAGACACCTTGGCTTTGTACCTCAGGGGTCCTCGTTGTCCTCTGAATCGGGGGTATGCTTTGTGAGGGGCACTTTCCCCTTGATTATAAATCCCCCTGAGCAGTGCCTTCCACGTGAGGAGCCCTGGTCGCCTGTGGGCAGATGGCCTCTGCATTTCAGAAACATTGTCACTGGTTTTATTTCACGTAGTCGTTTTCCAAAAGTCTCCCTGCGTGGTGTGTCACAGGAAGAGGGGTCACGCGCATCCCAGCTTTAGGTCTCCCCGCGTCGTTTCCTGAACCGCGGGATGCAGAGCATGCTCATGGTCACCCTTACGCCTGGCAAGCAAGCAGGACTGCCTGGAAAGCAGTTCCAGTGGGCTTCTTTTGAACGGTCTCATGCCATTGACAGAGGTGACTATGTAATAAATACCTGGTTTAAAGTGGCACCGAGGCCCACTTCAATGGCAGAGTCTCTCAGGAAAGGAAAATGTCCAAGCATTTTAATATCTTTAGGATCTATAAAATATCAAAATTAATTTTGTTAAGGGTTTAGGATGCCTAAGTGCTATTCAGATGCTTACTTGTTTGTGTGTGTGTGTGTGTGTGTGTGTATAAAGATTTTTTTATTCCAATTGTTTTGAAAATAAATTGGAAGGAAATTAAGTGATGCAGAAATGAAAAATCATGAGTTCACAGATTTCCTTTATTTCAGTGGTTTGTATATTTCTTATGTAACGAAGGCAAATCGGTAGGTGGGTGATTTCTCATCACTGGGAAGGAAGTTCGCCCGCACCCTTGTTACTGTTAAGATATCAACTTTAAGGATGTTTAAGCTCCCAGGAGCTCCCCTGGCAGCTTTTTATCATGTCCAGAGAAATTCTGGCACCGTAATTCCCACAAAAGTCTCCCTCAAAACTGTTGTCCCAGAGCTCCAGGACAGGGAGAGATCTACAATCCGGTGAATTTGCAGTGAGATGCTCCTAAGCCCTCCCACCCCTCCCCACCTGTTTTGCCGTTCCTCCAGTAAGAGGCCTACCCTGCAGTAAACTATTGCCGGTCCAGAGTCGCCAGGGCAATGTGCGTCAGCCTCTCAGGCCATCCGGAGTGCCCGTTCCCTGTGAGACTGCATACTCCTGAGGGCCCAGGGAGGGATGGGAACAAGGGACAGAAGTGGCTGGCTTATTCCAGCACATAATACAAAGAACAGGGAAGACAGGAGCTTCCCCCTCCGGGTGACACTATGACAGACAGGTAGTACCCTTTCCAGCCCAGCTGTGGGACACAGCGTAGTTCTTTGCTTCAAGTTTTGTGAACAAAGGCCATGTCTGCAAACACATAGCAGAGAGCCACCCAATACCAAGCACACTGCCGTTGCCTGCCCTTCCCCCGCCCGGCACCCACTTCTCCACCACTGCACCCTGCTCTGACGCTCTTCCCTTAGTGAGCCTTAGAATTTAGAAGATGACAAGCAAGGAGAATGGAATGAGTGTTTGTTCCTTTCTCCAAAGCTGGGGGACTGGGCTTGCTCACCCAGGGCCCCCAGCAGGGAGAGGAGAGGGGTGGGCTGGGAGAAGAGGGTGAACAGTGAGAGGGCGCAGCACTGCAGGCAGCAGGAAGCCCGCCCCCCCACTCCTCACCCCTTATGCAAGGGCGTGTTCACAGCACTCCTCACAGATCTTGGGGCTGCCACTTCAGGGGAGAGCTGGTGCTCCCCTCAACACTCGGTTGCCTGTAATTGTTTTCTCCTGCCTTTGAGTCGTAAATAGACTCCTAGGGCTCTGTGGAAAAGCTCTGCCTGGCTCGTGCAGCCTACATCCTGTGGCGGTTCAGCAGAGGGCTCTGTATGATTTCCAGCCAATGCACGTGTTCACGCGGTGCTCCCTCCTGCCCGTCGGCGGCGGAGATGTGCTCTGCTCACGGCTCTGATCCTGAGCTGCCTGGCCACGCTGGAAAGAAAGGCTTGGTGATCCGCTCCGCAAATTCAGCTAGGGAACGTGTGCTTTGTCACCATGCTGTCCAGGTTATGGTGCAGGACTGGGTACCATCTTGTTCTGCTGTGCACAGGGCTGCCGTGGCTTAGGGGCTGGCCCAAAGGCAGCCATCAACAGCCAAGACAGAGGGAGACGCCTGCCATGGAGTTGGCTGGTGTTAAAGAAGAGGGGCACCCACGTCAGCTTGAGATCACTCGGGATTTTCGAGGCCCACCCTGGCCTGGTTCCTTCCTTCTCCAGCCACCAAGGATCCTTTCTGACTTTACCTCTGCTTGACCTGCCCCCCTACCCCTAACCCTCATAACTGAAGTGTTATTATTTTGAAGTGGCAATAACCTTGCACAGTATGGAATTCTGTGCCACGCAGAGTCATGGAATTTTTTATGGTGGCTAATGCTGAAGTTGGTTTTTTGGAATGTCATATGACACATGCTGAAGCATCAGAGCCTTAAGCATTGGGCAGGGGTGCTGCCTACCAGGGACCAGCAGACAAAGGAACCAGCCATTTCACTAGGCCTCCAGATTCTCCATCCTGGACTTCCCATGGCATGTGGGAGTGTGGAGGGGTAATATCGGGGTCTGGAAGCCCCCGATGGAGGTTGGCCATGTAATTTGCATCACAACGGTCCAGGTTAATAGTATTCTGTATGCACCCTGAATCCCAAGTCCAGGGAGTTTCCTCAGATCTCCTTGGAGGTCTGGGCCACAAATCTGGACCAGTGGAGAATCTGGACAGCAGGTAAATCACGAGCCAATCTACGACCAGCGGTTTCCACGTCTGTCTCAGGGCACAAGGACATCAGCGTCAGCATGACACCCCAGACAGAACATCCCTAGGACACAGTCCCAGTGCTGTGTACACCACTGTCTGGGGGCAAGGTCCCTGCACTGCCAGGGACCGCAGGATGCCTGCCTTTTGACTGAATGGCCGCATCTCTGCTCTGCCCCCAGGCCCTCCCCTACGTCTGTCTCCTGATCGCCATGCTGTTCTTCATCTACGCCATCATCGGGATGCAGGTGAGAGGGTGGATGCCTCGGGCTTGGTGGGGGGAGGGAACTGAGCTGTGGAGACAGAGAGTGCTCTGACACAGTGCTCACCGGGGACCACGTTCCCAAAGGCTGATGCATGTGCCCTTGGGGATTGCACATGTGCAGTGTCACCCCCTTCTGAGGGCCCAAGGCCTTCATAGAGGCTTGTCAGATGGTGGTGCTGACTTGTACACCGGGTATACCAACAGAAAGGAGCCAAAGCTGATGTCACTGCTTTGGTCAGAGGGAAGCCCCTGTGAGTCTAAGGAAGAGAGTCGCCTGGTGAGCACTCTATCCGGTCTTGGCACTTTAGACAATGCCTAAAAGAGGATCAGCTGTCTGCTCTCCTGTTCACAGTGACACCACAGGTGCTGGAGTCAGGTCCTGAAGGTCTATGCAGGCAGATCCGCCACCACTGTGACTAGCCCATGAATTCCTGCTGATCTGCTCATTTCTAGGGAGACCCCAGGGCCAGGTGACAGCGAATTCCTCCCTTAAAGGAGCATGCAACTGACCTAGCAGTTTCTTTCTTGGGTTACCACACCCTGCTCAGTTTAAGAGCTTGAGACACAATCAGCTTTGCTTCTGATCTTGGTCATTTAGCTAGGTAGCCAGAGGCCTACTGAGCAGCCAACCCAACCCAACCAACTCACAGCCATCAAATGGATTCCAGGGCGAGCCTGCAGAACAAGGGAGCGCTGTGCCTGTGCGTTTCCGAGACTGTACATTTTTATGGGCGAGGAAAGCCTCACTATTCCCACAAGGAGCAAGGGGAGGCTGAAACTGCTGACATTGCGGTTATTGGCCCACCAGGCTCCCAGGGCTCCTGCTGAGTATAAAAGGTCACAAAAATGTCTGCAAAGGACACTCAGCTTAGAGAAAAGTGCACACCTACCGCAAACAACCCACAGCATCTCCCATGAACTTACCTGGCTGGATACCCAAGTGTTCTGCTTGTCTTAGGGAGACCAAGCCCCTCAGACCTAGAGACGTCGTGGCAAAGCCCCAGCAGAGAACTTCCGCCAGGTTGCAGGCTCCTGCAGTCAGGCCATCAGGCTGCCTTTGGACGAGGAGCGTCTTCTCCAGGACGCCTCCACCTGGGGAGGCTGCCCAGGGTGGCGCTGCTGCTTCTCCAGGCTTTACTTTTCTCCCCACCTGCGCTTCTCGGGTCCACCCCTTCTCTAACAGCACGTCACTACTGGGATGTTTTTTCCTCCTCAAATACTACAGGATGTCAAGTGTCCAAAAGTCTGAGAAGTAAGGCATGCTTGCCTCTTCATTGGGGATATTGAAAGAAAGATTTTGGAATCCACTGCAAAGCAGTGAGACCTTGGATTTCCGGTCACGAGGAAGTCAGCAGTGTCACAAACAGAATTCTTGCCAAGAGTTAAGGATGGCTTGAGGATCCTCTGAAATCCCTTCACACTCCCAAAGAGTTTGTTCTAGAGGGAAAATGCTCTCCAACCAAATCAAACTCACTGTGAGAGCCCATTTTTTTGGCTGCTAGCAACCCATAGACAGAGTGGAGTCACCACTGTGGGTTTCCGAAATTCTCAGCCTGTATAGGAACAGACAGCCTAATTCCCCCCTCCCCCCACCCCTGTTCTCCACTCCCCGTTCCACCCCCCCGCCACCCTGGACCTCAGGGTTTGCAGCCTAACTTGGCAGTGTCCGTCCACTATGCCACCTGTGCTCTTGGATGCTCTTGGACAGGCAAATGCAAATGTGATGAAGTTCTGTTTGGCCATGCTTAAAATGGTGTCTACATTCCCTCTTCCAGCACAGTAAGCTAGAATAAGCCCCTCTCCCGTCTGGCCTGTTGCTGATACTCGGTATGCTGATGGTGTTGCCGGTGCTGCCATTGCTGGGATTCCTTGGTGTGTAGACATTGCTGGGTGGGGGCGTTTTTCTCCCTCCCTCATCTTCCTTCTCTCTCTTTCTGCTTCCACCATCGCTACCTTTCTTCCTTTTCTTCTTTTAGCGGCTGTGGCTAAAAGAAGCTCCTTCTCTTTCTCCCCCCTCTTCTCTTCTCCCACATCTTCTCCCACCTTCTTTGCCTCCTCTTCCCCTTTCTTTGACCCTTTAGTGGGAGGTGGTAGGAGCCGTCTAGTTATGAGTTTGAGATCTTCACAACCCCTGTAATGCCTCATAGTTTGTTCCCCATAGACTTCTTTCCAAAAAATAAGAGCACCTTCTCGAATCCACCCCACTGGGTCTTGCGCTTCTCTGGCTTCTTCCTAGTCCCTGACAGAGACCCAGCCCTGTGCACGGGGCAGGCATCTGAGCTTGTTGCCAGAGAGATTACTGCTGGCACAGTCAGGGAACAGAGTAATCCACACCAGTACACACCAGAAAGAAGGCGGGGGACACGCCTTGGGAAAATATAAATAGCACCATGATGGATCTCCGAGGGGAATCATTGCTCTGAACTGTCAAAGGAAGAAGAGAGCTTTTCAGAAGAACTTCAAATAGAAAGGAGGAGTACCTTGCTGGCTATCGGAAAGAGCTCTGGGGCTACAGGTAGTTGTGAGGTGAGTTTATCAGCCTCGGCTCTGCCACTGACCAGATGGGAAAGCTTGGTCAAGTCACTGCACCTCTCTGGACCTTAATGCCTTCACCAGTATAGTCCTGGGCTTGGATAACTAGCTTCACAGGCTGTGTTAGTTTGGGCTGTCTACAGAGAAAAAAATCTAGTATAAGACAGAGCTTTATATCCAGAAGCAATCTTATGTCAGTAAGGCAGGCCAGCCCCATCCAACTCAAGTTACTAAAGCCAGGGCCCTCTTCAGACTCATGTGCCGCAGGCTGCTGGCACAGAAAGGTGATGCAGGGTGCAGGAAGACCACAAGCAGATAGGGACAGAGACTCGTGCATCCGAACTCAGTGGCAACATGGCAGGATGCTACCA